AGTAGTAGATATAATAGATAATCTTTCCTATAAATTGTATAATAGGTTTATTCACTCAAATATTAAAACAAATAGTACACTATTGGAACTAGTGAACAAAAATTTGGCATGTCGTAGCCTCGTATGTGTGTAAAACGGAGACAACACATGAGAGTKCACCGTCTTCTTAATCCAATTAAATTGTTAAATTGTTAGCTGTTATTTATAACATTTACAATAACTTAATTTGACTAAATTTACTTGTAATAAATCATTATATAGACAACACAATTCATGAAAAATGTATTAGAAGACTATAAAATTATTTCAAACTACTATACTCAGTGAGAAGTGTGAATCAATATATCAATTATCATATATTAATTATATTCATCATTTCGTTTTAGTCATAATAACTTAACTATATATCTATGTACACTACTAAGTGCCTATATATATAGTATATATTAATGATAACTGATAATTGTATACCTATTACATAGTTCGTAAGTAGAAACATCTAAACATCAACAATACTTGGTTATTAATGCATTATAAATTACAATAAAAAATATAAGTATTTGTGTTTCATTAGATTGGAATCGTTGGAAGAACTGGTGCAGGAAAATCATCTTTGATAGCAGCATTATTTAGGTTAGCTATTAACGAGGGTAACATAATTATTGATGATATAGAGATACATGAACTGGGATTACATGACTTGCGATCAAAAATGTCCATCATACCTCAAGAACCAGTTTTGTTTTCAGGAACATTAAAAAACAATTTAGATCCATTTAATGAATACCAAGATAATGTTCTTTGGAAAGCTTTAGAGGAAGTAAAATTTTAATTTTTTACTAATAGTTTATATATTAATACTTAAATAATATTTTTTAGGTGGAACTCAAAGACGTTGTAAATGATTTATCAGATGGTTTAAACTCGAAAATATCTGAAGGTGGATCAAATTTCAGTGTTGGTCAAAGACAATTAATATGTTTGGCTAGAGCAATTATACAAAATAACAAAATTCTTGTGTTAGACGAAGCCACTGCAAACGTTGATCTACAGTAAATAATTAAAATCTTAAAATATGATTTAAAAAAAATTTATAAGTGTACGGTATTAACAATTGCACATCGTTTGAACACAGTGATGGATTCTGATAAAATACTTGTAATTGACGCTGGTACAGTAGTTGAATTTGACCATCCCTATAATTTATTGAAAAATAAAGATGGATTTTTGTACAAAATGGTAGAACAAACTGGGCAAATCAATGCTCAATCATTATATAGTTTAGCTTATGAGGTAATTRTTGTTCTTATATTCATTTTCACTCAAAAATTTAACTATTATTTCATTCTATAAATTCATTTTTTTTTTCTAATTTATAAAGAGTTTCAATAAAGAACAAATGCCAAGTGAACATCGATTGTCAAGTATTAATGAGGATGAATACTAAATCACATCATAAGTATACAGTTAATTAGGGCTATAGGCACAATTAGGAAAAATTTTCTGTTTGGTCTCAAATTGTATCAGCCGTATACAAACCCTGATAATTGATAGTTTAATCTAAAATTTTCTTATCCTGTGCTAAAATATGATTCCAAGCACCTCCCTCTTAATTTCGCCTATGATTAGGATAATAGTTATTAATGTATGAATAAAGTATAATCAAATAGATATTACCATTGATTATAGAATAATTATTCAATAATCAATGGTATTAGGTAACTACCTAGATAATAATATTGCATTATACACTATATACAATAAAAATAATAATCATATAAAACCTGGTGTCTATTAGTTATGTACTTATTTAAAACTTCACTAAAAAGGATTTTATTTTCGTACCTATGTATCTTATAATATAAGAATAGGAAGAAAAAGACAGTTCTGGAGCTCCTCCCCCTTAAATTTTACATGTAAAAGCATAGGCTCCTCTGTATAGGCAATTCGTAGTACACTCTCCTCCCAAGCTCCTCCGAAACCGACAATAATATTAAACAATATAGGCAACCCGCAACACACATAAACTCATCACACGCCGCCAGATCCGACACGTAACCAACACATATTTTACCCCTTCCCATTTAAATACATTACCTCCCCTTTTATTTCCCCTTATGAAAGAAATTTTTTTTTAAATATAATATTCTGGTATACAATTTTATTGATCCGTTGTGGTATTTTACGTATTAAAATATACATGATACCATATATAGTACACATTAGTTTTCCATTTAGTACATTATAGGTAGTTATTAGTTTATTACCAGTCATTTGTTCGTTTATAGTAGGTACACACTACACACACACAAATTCGCACATAGTTTCAAGTACACATGTAGCGTCCCAGCATACAGGAGGACAAACAACTGGTGTTGAGGTAGATGGATTGAGTGAAATAAGTATAACAACTCGATTTGTGATTAGTTATTATATATTTATTTGATTATGTTATGTAATAAAACACTTTACTGCACAAAATGATTTAATTCAAAATATTCTAAGTCCAAATGATTAATTTAGAACGGTGTCTGGCGTGAAGGTGCTTGCACTGACTCTGGTGGCTCACGTCTGATGTCGGTCTATTCGGGGCTCTACTCCTACTCTCTGCGTTTTCTCTCCTATCGATAAGATGAGTATGTGTCCATTGTCGAATCGTACAAATGTGTACGGGCGTATCGCCAGGATATCGATCGGTCACATCCTGTTATTCGTGACACACGTAATCTCCATAAACCGATGCCCCCATTATTGTTATTATTACTATTATTATTAAATTAAGTACTACCATCATTACTGGCGTACTCGACCGATGCCCCTAGCCCCTATTACGTTATCTCATARTTTAGCAACTATATGCCCCAGGTACATGCATATATAGTGATCTAGCGGGACGTCAGTACATAGCACACACATTCCATTCTATACCTAACACCTTTTCTCGCGCCTTTACCTCATTATCCGTCTGTACGACTACACACCTATAGGGCTATAGAGACATGTCCGAACATATCCGAGACATGTCCGAGTATTATCGATGATCACCATACAAAAAGTAGTGCATTAAGTAAATCGATGTCACTAGTCAGTCCGTGTATTGCCGTCTATGTGTCTTGTGTTTTTAAAGTGTTTACAAATATTTTATTTTTCTTAAGAAAGCACCGTAGTTTGCTTTTTCTACCGATGGTTATAATATTGTGCTAATAAATCACTTAGATAAATTAATTTCAAACGGTCATCTAAAGTACAGTATATTTTATTATATTTCATTACTCATCTATTCGTTGAAGTGTTAAGTCTTGTTTCGCGAGTTCAACTAGTGTTTTAAACGCAATCATGTTTTCGTGTAATATATGTGATAAAACATTTACATTGATTAAAAACCTACACAGACATGCAAAGTCACATAATGTATCCATTAAAATCGTATGCAGTATATGCTCAGAAATATTTACGCGAAGAGATAACCTCATCAGACATAGCAAAGAAAAACATCGCAAGTATTATTTTTTCCCAATATAAAAATGTATAAGATAAAATATATTAAATTAATAATAATATTTTCAGATTCAAATATTATAATCCAACAACAACCAAACATAAGCAAGCGAGAAATTCAAGATTTAATTTTTTTTCTGTCGTGTACTATTTTTTTCAATGTCATATCGCTGAATACAATACTACATACGTCTATTCGTTTTACTAGCCTTTATCTTATATAGCCACTACTATGAGCATCTGTAATATAGACGAGCTTTATTATTGCAAAGGCAGAATATAAACGAATGAGATTTATAATTCATCATCTCGTAGTCGTTACAAGCGTGATATAAATGGTATAATATACTTACAACCAAAGGTGAGCATAGACTAGTTAAAAGGTAAAATCTAAGTTGACAATTTTAATTTTTCAATCTTATTAAATAAAAAAAAAGATTGAAAATATAACTAAAATTTTTAATTTTAACATTTAAGGCTTTAAAATATAATTCAAGGTTTATATAATGAATTTATATTTAATTTYTATTAATTTTAAATAAAATGTTTAACATTCTTTTCTAAATATTTAAGACATGTGTTATCAGTAGGGTTTAGCTTTTAAAGCACTAAATATAACTAAAATACGCACTGTAAAACGCCCTAAAGACATTAAAACAATTAAAAATAAAGACAAATTAAAAAACAAAAAAATGTAAAAAGTACGACAAAATATTCTAGAAACAATATTATATAAATACGGATACGAGCCTAATCATTTTAAAATTAAAAAGAGTTTTAGTATTTATTTATTTATTTTATTTATATAATAAATAAAAATATTGTTGCCATGGTAAAAATAAGTGTTGAAATATAAACATTCAAAATGTTCGTCATTCATAATTTATTATAGTATTGCAACGGTCACGTCATATTATACATACTTCGTTCTTTTGTAATTAAAAGTTATAAAGTCTATTTATATTCTTGTACYTATAGAAYTATCGAGCTTCATTAAGYGTTACTTAATTTTATTAATCAAAAATAAACGTACATTTTGATTAATATATAACGATCATGTCAATTATCAGCGAATTGGAGATG